ATAATATTGGAAGTAGAAATGATTGTATTGTTTATGGGCTTCCTGTGTAAATGAATGTTTTCAGTATATCTGACCTGAAAGTTTCCACTTTTTAATGAAAAACGTTTTAACTTTCCACACATTTGCACAACGAAAACTTGTAAAATGATGCTTTTTTCCGAAATAACGAAAATCAATTATCATATTAAAATGATGGACATTTTTGGCGATAGATCCCAGTCCATATCTAAATGTCATGTGATGCAAGGAACGCCTTGTAGTTTTTTATCCAAAGTCCACTCAAAACTCGTTGAATGTGCTTAGCAAAATATCTAATTCTGACTACTTTAAAATGGCTAAAAAAGGTGGTGCAATGCTAGACCTACCTACAGCATGTCGTTTTGCAGTCCTTGAAGTTAGTGACGACAGTGAAGAAGACGCAAATTCAACCACTTTAAACAAGAAAAATACTGCAAAAACTGCAACAGGGAAAAATGACAGCTCCTCTGTTTCCTCAAAGAAAAAGAAGCAAAAGAAACGAAAACATAAAAGTAAAACTACTCAAGTAAGCATCCTTCATATTTCTGGTGCAGTGTAGAGAACTGAAAAAAATGTGAAGGAATTCAATCAATATTCAGAACTGTATAATCTAACAGCTGGGCGTGAAAATTTCCAAAAGTCTTTAATTAATTTTATATATCCGACATTTTATAGATCTTTAGGTAACTGCTAAATATAGTTCACGTAGCTAAATCTGATAAAGAAGCTTTTAATTCATCAAAGCTTAAAATTATGTTGATTTTAGGCTGATGTATTGGAAGAAATTGAGGTTCCCTCTCAGATTAGCAGTGAAGTACATGTAAATACAGAAAAACCAGAAGAAGATTGGCAGTCATGGCAAAATAGAGATGAACAGGTACTTGAAATATTGTTATGATTCAATTTTATTGTTTTCATATTTCTTTAATGATTTTTCTGAATTTCATTCATTCTTATTTTTTCATTCCCAATCCAGTATGTGTTGGAACAATTTCAAAAAGATTTAAAGGCAAGTCGTAATATAATTAAATTTTATCATAATGATTACAAAGTATTGCAATCAGTCGACTATCAGTGTTACTAGTAATTATTCTTTTAATTAATACCAACAGCAAATACTAAAAAATCAGCAGCGCAAAGATTTTCTTCAGCAAAGGGTGCGTGCGCTCACTCCAGAAAAGCTGTCTTGAAGGAGATTTCGATTTAGTTGCCTTGAAGGTTGCRAGGTCTCAAAAAGAGTCTCAAAGAGATGATAAACATGCTATTATTTGCTCCCTTTGTAATAACAGTGATCATAAAAACATGATCAAAAAACACCCCTTAACCTTTTTGTTGATGAATTAATTCATATCTTTTACATGCAAACAGGCTGCACTAGAGGCTAGCAAGATGACAAATTATTCAAGAGATCACCAAGAAAATGATTTATCATCTAYTAAAAAGAAAAAGAAAGAAAAAACAATATCATTAGATGAATTTATTAGTGGAAATACAGAAACTAGTCAACCAGAGACTAATGGTACTACTTCCAGTTGTAAGTTAAAATGTAGGCCTCTTTGCTTGTCTGTCCATCTAACTCTTCTCCACCCGACTTTGTTCAGTTGTCAGTTACAGTCTGATTGCACTACACATATATTTGTCTGTCGTTCTACCTTACTGTCTGTCTGTCTGCCAACTTGTTTGTTCTAACTGTCACTAAATGTACCCTTGTCTTAGATCATGTCTCATCCTCCACTCCCTACTTCCACTTAGTATATTCTGTCTTATATGCAATTTACCGCATTCCCTGGTTTTCATTCCTCTCGATTAAATTGCCACACTAATGGACACGCTAATTCAATGCTTTTGTCCCAATAGTTCCAGATAACACATTATATGGATTAGATGACTTTCAGGTAAGCTCTCTATTCAATTGTCTATTAGGAGGGACCTTTGTTAACTTTAAAGTCAATATAACTTAATTTAAAACTTAAAACATAATTCAATAAATTATATTTGAATTCAAGGATGAAAACATTCCTGTAAGTATACCATTGCATGATGAAAAGCCACAGAAARCTAAGAAGAAAAAGAAAGGACATGAAAAATCAGTTGTTGAAGAAGCTGCAAAGAAAGAGTCAGACCACAAAGAACATGTTAGTAAACTGYGGGATTCTATCGGGAAACTCCTATTGAAAGAGGGGGATTCTCGCTGTTTCTTATAATTGTCATAATTTTTTACTCCAAGCAATCCGGGCTTCTTATGTTAACCTGTGTGCAGGCATTCCTYTTTTGCTCTATCTTTGTGTGGGATAACATTAGATGCTAGATGACTTTTCACCCAGACTTTTATTCCTYGCACAAGTAATCATTTCACTGGACTATTCACTCGTTTTCAGAAAGTATCAGCGTCTCATGAAGAATCAATAAAAGCAGAAATGGTTCATATACAAGAAGAACTGACCAAGAAAGATGAACTTGTAGAGAAACAGCAAAAAACTATAGAGAAACAAAAAGGCTGGATTAGTGAATTACAAGTAAGATTGGATGAGGGAATGAATGGTAAAAAGATTGATTCATGATGAATCATTGTTTGTTTGGCTGTTGATTTATATTGATTAATATTGGCTGTTGGTTGATTGATTTACTGACTGACTGACTGATTGATTGATTGATTGATTGATTGATTGACTGATTGATTAACTGACTGAATGATGGACTGATTAATTGACTGATTGGTTGACTCGATGAATGATTTCAGAAAGAATTAGCACAAGTAAAAAAGAGGAATAAACAGCTTTGTCATATACTAGGACAGGGAGAAAGTAAGCTAATATGATATCAATAATATTATCGGAGTTTGTATTTCACATCATTTCTCATCTACCTGTAAACGTCATTTGTCCAGTTTTGGAGAACACAGAATGAGATTGGAATATTATGCACTCTTTATCCACTAATTGTAATTGATTTCAGTGAAAGAAAAAGCTGATTTACTACTACAAATAGAAGAATTGAGTGAAGTTAGAGACCAGGTATCATTATAGTATTATAACATCATGTGACATTAATTTATCATTACCTAGATGTTAGTTTACAATTTTAATAGTCAGTGTAAAATTAGAGCTGCAATGATATTGTATATTTTGTTTACAAGGTTGTCCAGCTTCATGCAGAATTAGAGCAAGAAAGATCAAAGTCATCTGCTTTAAAACAGGAATTAACAAAACACCAGGTGAATGCATGAATGGAAATATTTATGAATGGATGTATGAAAAAATGAAAAAAGGAAGAATTATTAAATGTAGCCAACTTGAGACCATTGTAATACTACTTCCTCATTGGACTTGGTAGTGAGGTTAATAGAAAGACAAGAAGAGTTCTACTCCCATTTCTATGGATAAATATTTCATGGATATTATAAATGAGAATTTGTATTTTTTTTCTAGACATCACATGGAAGACCAAGACATGGCTCAACATCATAAACATTAGAAAAGCCAGTTATTCAGAGCAACAAAAATTCATTTAAAAAGATTRTTTAAAGAACTAAAAAGTGGAAAAACAAATGGAAAATGAACAAAAAAATCTCTTTTCTCTTCTCTCATTTGGCTAAACAAATATTAGACTAAATCAGATATTTGTTGGTATTACAAGACTGGTGGTCACTTTGATCAAAAACATGTTCAGACAAACTCATTTCCAGACCTTCACTTTMATTTTTCCTTGGAAAAATGAGATTGGAAGAGAGAATAGGCCCAAAACCATCCTCGGGAACCCAGGGGTATTTTTTCTGGGAGTGAGGAACGAACGACAGAAGATTACCCCTGGGTTCCCGAGGATGGCCCAAAACAAGAAAACAGCTTCTGATACTACTCCCATTTTTTTTTTTTTTTTTTTTTTTGCTGTTTTTTTGCTTCCTATTGAATTGTGAGAATAATTTCATTTGTTCATTTTTCATTTGATTTTCATTTATTATAAAAAAAAGATTTTCAGCCAGGGACAAGGTGTTACATTTACTTTAGTCAACTGGCTCAAGTCAATCTTTAAATTTATTCATTCTTTATTTTTAGCCAATCAGAGAGAAGTTTTGTAGATAGTACCTACTCTCTAAAATGGGCTTCCTGTGTTGAGTCARTCAGATTCCCACATGGAACCCAAACAGAAAGGAGGCTGACAGAGGATTAGTTTATAATATTTGCACTCCAGTCCATGGCTGAAAATCATGTAAACAATGTTAATAAAAAAGTTGTTGTTCTGATGTGAAAAGAAAATGTCATAGATTTTTCAGTTTATTTTTATATTCTGACATTTTTTGCAAGCATAATTTTAGAACTGCTTGTTAATTGAGTTCTAAGATTACTGAAAGTTAACAAAAAAATTTGCATAGATCTCATTTTAGCAAAACGTATTGATTTTTGTAGATCCTTAAATTATCTTCTGTTGAAAAATAATTAAAAGCATTTTCATGCATTTAAARAAATGCAAAATCAGTGTGTTATACTCTGTTCACTTGCGTACATAAATACGAGATATTTATATTTTGGGTTTCATTAATCGGGCATTATTCACTTTTTTTCATGATATTAAGCKATTCAGTGGGGTTCCTGTGTTTATTGCGATYGAGTCAAACGAGGGGTCATGGGCCCCACTGTTCCCTCTTCGTTCTCTTTCTTCGTTTCTGTCAGGTCAACAAGATGGTGAGTGAAGTTTGRAGTTAAAATCCGTCTTCATCGTCTTATCTAGCCAACACACAACGAKTAAACATATCTCRAATGAAAATACGATAATCAATCTACCTGGCTGTCTTTTGATTTCAGAAATGAATACTTATTTTAGCCTAAAAAATAAACTTGTTTTTCCACAAATAGTCAGAAGCAGACCAGCCAAAGAAGAAGCGTACCTTCCGAAAGTTCACCTACCGTGGTGTAGACTTAGAYCAGCTTCTCAGTCTCACMCATGAACAGCTTATGGAGCTTGTATGTTGCCGTCAGAGACGTAGATTCTCTCGAGGYCTCAAGAGAAARCAGTTGGCTCTCATGAAACGATTGAGAAAAGCCAAGAAAGAGGCTGCCCCTATGGAGAAACCAGACGTCGTCAAAACACATCTTAGGAATATGATTGTTGTTCCAGAAATGATCGGCAGTGTTGTCGGTGTTTACAACGGCAAGACCTTCAATCAGGTTGAAATCAAGGTAGRTTTTGAACGATTTATTTGAATATTTTTCTTRTACGCTAGTCGCTGTTGACAGTCAAATATCGTGTTTCGTTCTCATTGATAATGCTATTTTCCTAGTACTGAATATTAATATATAAGAGAAACGATARTTCAAAGTGTGCTATGCAAGTGCATATTCTACAGTGCATTTTCATGTTGGGGAGATTTCTCGGGAATTAGAATTCATTGTTTTGGTCTTAAATGTAATTGCAAGGGATCTCTCTACAAGTTGAACGTACCATATGTGATTCTTACGTACAGTTTGCATATTTCAGCCTGAGATGATTGGCCATTACCTTGGTGAATTCTCCATTACATACAAGCCTGTYAAGCACGGAAGACCTGGTATTGGTGCTACTCACTCTTCACGATTCATTCCTCTGAAGTAAACGATTATGAATCTAATAAAATGTTACCATCTGTACATGTTGTCTGTCATGTTTTATGATATAATTTGCACTACATGGTAAAAATCCATTGATGAAAAATGTAGTTTTTAGCAGAGATGGTTACACAGAGGGTGAATAGAATTGTACAAGCATCACACGTATGCAACAAATAGCACTCTTCTTATGCTTTTATGTTGCATACTTTTGTTGTTAGTACTCATGCCATCCCAGATTGGAACAGTACCACTCCACAGTGCATTGCATTTTAGACTATATTATCGTTTTTATGTGATGTCATCACGTTTTGGACTGATGCTATCATAAAACCTTTTGTGGTTGTTTGCACTTAACAGCATTATTTGTATGTGATGACTGAGAGGTGGCTGCAAAAGGTTATRATTGTACGTTATCAGGATTTATGTGGTAGATGGTACATTTGACCCATTGAGTGGATTTGGTATGACTGTGCAATGGCATGGATCACAACACAGACACAGCATGGAATCTCGCCTTCTAGGATTCCAACTAAAAATAAAGATTTACAAAACAATACATCACTGCTATGGAACAGTATGGTCACAGAGCAAAATTACCGTGTCTTTTGCATAGTCATACRAAATCTGCTCTAAAAAGTACTTGTACTGTCTCACAATTTGTTTGCACTTTCCCACTTCCTTGGGTATGGTTATGGTATTTGAACTTGTTTCATCAATCACACCTGTAGTTTCTTTTTTTTCAAGTTTTCAGGGTAAGTGATGTGATGGGTTTTACACGAAATGATAACTAACATTTTGTGCGCAAAGTGGGATTATGCAATGTTGAAAAATGACAACTGTGTTAGTATCTTTCATTTGTTTTATTTCAAACTTTCAAACATACTAAGGTAATGATCCAAAAACTTCATAAAATACTCTGAAATAATCTTCATAAAAATATGATAACGTAAGCAATTATGTACACTGATAAAAAATCTAAAACCATCAGCCAAATGATAAAAAATCTACAACTTGGTTTCCTAACAATCTGAAAACTGCTTKAGGGGTCTTCCTTAATRTTTCTCCTCTCCAAAATGTATTAATCATAAAATTTTACATTCAATTTTCCATTTTTTTGACCTTAATACTTATAAACAAAACCTATTTTACAAGTTAGCTATACCTCCTTAATTTGCTGTCGATATGCAAACTGACCAGATAAAATCTGGGAACTGTTTTCTGTATTTGAAAAAGTGGGCTTCCAGTTCAATTCAAAGAGTCTAAACCCTTTGACCAAAGTTGTAATTTGAAGAATGACCTCTCTTGTGATATCAAGCAATGGTCTGACACCATTTCGAATTCCAAGAAATACATTCCACAAAAATGTTAGCGACGGTTGGAGTAAACTGTTGAATACAGCTGCCAGAACTGGTTTCAGAAGATGGTCTCCAAATACAACAATAAAACCAACTAAAAGCCTAACAAGCACTTTACGAAAGGTGAATTTTATGAGTTCAAGGAGAAAGATTAGTGCAAAATCYACTGCAAGAGCTACTAATCCAAAGAATTCTTGCCAGAAGTAAGTCAGCCATCTCTCAGTTCTAGAAAATGGAAGACTTGGTTAGAACCTATTCAGATAGTTAATAGCCCTCCTTCACATCCTACCCTTTTGTYAGGAAGCCAAACAAAAGTGTAGGGTTTGAAGGAGACTACTTTCTGTCCATGTGAATACATACAATTAAGAAATAACAATACCTTTCTCCTAGTGATTTCATGTAAGGGTCTCTCCATTCTGGCACAACATTCAAGTAATTTGTTTTACCATGGTTGAAGATATACGTATAACTGTTGAGTAAAGCGAAACTAAAATTATAGTATGAACAACAAAAATCAGACTACTCCTTTAGAGTGAATTATTTATTACTTTCCCTAGTAGCTGGAGTAGATTAGTGTGAGAATGAAAATGCCACTGCAAGGATATAAGAAGAGACATATGACTAACACAGTTTACTTCAAAATGAAATATGTTCCTAATTTGACTGGASGCTTACCCTGTTCCATGTTTCTTTTCATATGGAACACAACAGCCTACATCACCATYCATTTCAACAATATGTCCATGTCCATCCACTGGTTCTTGTGTCACAGCAAACTGGTCAATTTTAAACTGTCTATCTTCATGATTTCTTTGATCCCAATCATTTGCAGCTCTTGGTGATGAGAGATGTGAGATATCATCTAGATTTTCGGGGGTCTTGCCCCTTAAATATGCAGACTTGATTCTACCTCGTCTTTGTTCTGGACTATAGGACTCTTTTACATCATTTGCAGGCAAAGCATCTAAAAAGTTGTGAACCATAGCTTTTCTTCATTATAATATTGGTAAATTTTATATTCTACAAAATCACTATGATATGGACAACTGTTATCTTGAAGACTTTCCATCCATATTTGACTACTGGTACATGTACATGTACCGCTATAATTTTATAATGGTGCAATCGTACCTTTGAAGTTTGTATATGGAGGTTCTTCAGTTARCTGAAAGCCTTGATTTGTTTGCCCMTCTTTGACAGGGTTAAAATCCAACTCCTTCAGTTCTAATGCACTGGCTTTTTTGTTATTATTACCAACAGTACCCGCMACAACAGTATTTGAATTTGAATCCAATTTTATTGATTCTCCACTAGCTTTCTTGCTCCCATTTTTGTCATTAAGAGTTCTTATGGAATGGCTACTGTTATCWACAAAAGATGTCACCCCTGAAGTTTTTCCATACATTTGATTTGGCTTATTAGTAGACTCTGTACTGGGGATGCTTCCTTTSGATGGTGTTTTGACTGCTTTTCTAATTGGTGTAGATGTGCTGTTGCCATTTTGTGGTTGCGTACGAGGAGATTTACTKCTTGGTGGAGCTGGAGCCATGGGTGGTTGTGAGGGTCTRGGTGCGACCTCATACTCTGATGGTGGCTCAGGGTCTCCTGGGAGRCTGTCCCAATCTGAGTCGCTRTCCTATGAATACAATAAGATARGRAGGTACTTTAACACAGTTCTCTTGAAATAAAGACCTTTTTCTTTTCTCCAAAACCCTTCACTATGATTAGCTATTGTAGTTCTGTGATACCAAATTAATGAAGACATTTAAAATTCATGAAGGTTAATTATTTTTCATAGTAAAAATAATTTGAAGCTTCTGCAAGCTTTAAAGCTAAACAYTTTATTTGTGATGATGAGTGAGAAAATTATTACAGTAAAATAGCCTTTATTTGAGCTAAAAAAGCAAAATCGAGAAGATTTCAAAGTAAACACCATCACCCGCTGCYGACAGGAAAAGTGTCGTCGCAGCTGTTTTTAAAAATTCCCATTCCCATCACGAACAAAAATTTGTATCATAGCGAAAAGATAGGACGAGAAATCTTACCATAATTTTAATCCTTAAGAAAATATGTAAAGCTGCAACAAAGAAATTGTTGATTAGAAAATAAACCGCCAGTAATGAAATCAAACATATCAACAGTAACTACTAACAACGGCCGACTTTCTTCATGGACGACGACGCTTGACATTTGATTGTAAACATCAAGTTCCGTCGCCTTTTAAAACTGCAATAATTTGGTAACCTTGAGCCCTTACCTTGCGAACCTGGATTAGTCGATTAATCTTTGCTTTAGGTTGCGTGTAGAATATATAAAGAGAAAATTAAATTTTAATCAAGACTTTTTCCCTGAAATGTTAYAACGTTTTTTCAAATCCGCGGTATGTGCTGCGTTGCATTGTGGGATAGAGAGGATTTGGGTCTAGGACATATTYGACCGCAAAAGACTGGTAAGGCGCGCGAAAAAGATTCCTGCTCGAAAAWGTGGTTTCGTTGGAGATAACATTGTTTATGTCGAATTCAAGACCGATTTTCTTCGATTTTAAACAATTATTCAGCAGAATTTTTGCTTTGCTTTGAAGCTAAAACTATCTAAGAGTATCGATGTCAAGTGACACTGGAATCATGGTGAAAATCAAGGATGTTGAGTCGAAATATTGAACACAAAATGGTTGACTAGGACGTCGTCAAGTGAACATATTATATTGCCTGCCCAAAATCATCTTTCTACTTATGGCAAAGTTTGTTGGTGATTTTGGATAACGTATAAGAATTGGAAAAGGAAAAAACTTGGMATTATATTGGAATATAACATGGATGACACATCTAGGTGCGTTCACTGACATAGTTTTATAAGCTTTGGTATTAAGTTATAACAAAAGTTAAGTTAAGTACTATTGTCAGATTGATTTCTTTGCGCATTTACGGTCATAAAAATACAGTGTACATAAATTGTACACCTATTGTTTTTCATTTCCTTAAATTTCCTCATTTAGTGAAAGTTTATTTATGTCAAAATCATTTTATATAAACAATGAAATAAAATTAACTTGTCAGGGGAGCATGACTGCTGTGTTGACATGTTGTGCTATCAATCAAAAGTCCATATCTTCACATCAGCGATCAATAATTGTTCATATGATAATGCAAACTGGTATATAAATAATTTCTTGTTTCTTGCGTAAGGCATTCTTTCATACGTCATATATCGTGTGCTAGCACTGCATTATTTGCTATTGTGCATGTTTTTCAGTTATTACAGGGACAGCATAACGTTATTTGCTGCAATTTTTCAGGCAATTGCGTGAAAAGATGCAGAGAAGGCGGGCTGCAATGGAGGTAAACTAACATGAAGTAACATGTGACAATTAAAACAAATATGGAAGTGGCAAAGGAAGCAGAATAAGAAAGAGAGTGATTATACATTCTATATTTTGCTTCCTGTACAACTTCTTTCTCTCTTCTCTGTCTRCTTCTAGCTTCATAGCTGCACAGCATGCAGYTCATAGGGAAGTRGCCCAACTTCYAAAAACATGTGCTTAATAATGATTTTAAGTGTAAATTATTTCTGCTATAATTTTGAATAATAGGCCACCATCATGTCAGAGACTGGTTCATATGTATCAGATGCTGATGATACAATAAGGAGAGACCAAACTATGGTAATTATTACTAAATTTATCTAAGTAAACACATGATATTTATTTGCTAGGGTCATTTATTGTGAAAGTTTTAGCATAACCAAAGGATATAACASCATCATGGAACCTAAAAATCGCAACTACAAATAGATTTTAAATTACTAATAACCTTTTTATAATTCAAGAGATTGACACAAAAAATGATCAATCTGATAAATCATATTGTGGTGCCATTTTGAGGCATCAAATCTTGATGTCGAAGCCTCTTATTTTAAAACACATTTGTCTGGCATGTATTTTAGACACAGTCAAGATTAGATGACAATACAACAGAGATACAAACAATAGGTGGTGGTGACATGGAAACATTGGTTGAGGTAATTYATCATTGTTACCTTAGCAACAATTACAGCATCACTGGTGGTTGCCATAGTAACTATTTTGTTTATAGGATCTTGATCAAGGTGACGACATGCTTCAAAACCTGAAAACAAGACGGCTACAGAAAAAAGAAGAGGTATGTAATGTTTATTTGGTGTTTTTTATATGTATTTGTTCTCATTTTCATTGTGTTTTAACTGAAGCTGTCACGGACGATAGATGGAACATCAGGAGCATGGGGCGATCAAGYACCGACAATATCCCAGCAACGTGGACACTCCACCACATCTTTGATTGGTAAAAAACTTTTGTACACTAAAATGTTTATACTGCAGATGGCTGAACTCAAACCACATGCAATGACAGTCTCTATATCGGTAATGATTACGTGTTCTAGAATCTCCAGCAGGTCCTGGTCCACAGTTAAAAAGMCTAGCTGTCAGTGAAGACAGGTTAACATCCTCTATGGCCGGGGAGAGTATCAACTTAAATGCTTCAATCAGAGAGAGGCTACGCAGCAAAGTTAGAGGACGACAAGCCAGGGGRGGTTTAGATGAGGTATGTCAGAAATTTGGTTGTTTTATGAGTAGCAAAATTGATCAAAGGCACAAAATATGCTAATTCAGCTACCTAAAATACCTGCCTTCATTAAATAATTCAGACATCATCATGATTATACATTGCTCAAAGAACTGAAAGGTACAGTGTGTTCATTTTTATAGACAACTCCTGAACGTAGATTGAAAGGACTTAGAGATCGTCCTCTGCCAACAAGATTTGAGGAAGCAGGGGTAGGTCAAAAGTATTAACTTTAATTTAAAATGTAATGTATAGCTTYTAYAGTTTATRCTTGGGTTCTCCTTGCAGCTTGCTGGTCATGAAGGAATTGAAGAAGAAGAAGAAGATGCAGCGTTAATGGARAGTATTGCAAGTGTCAATAGATGGAAGAAGATGGCAAGAGYATCTCAGCTGCGATAYACTGATGTAAGTCTAATTTGTCTT